AGGCGAAATGGTATTTGACTGCGTCGCAGCAACGCAACCGCCGCGCACCCTCGATCGGCCGATCCTTATAAAGTATGGAGATACCCTCAGAGCTTCAGCGCCGAAAAGTAGCAACAAGCGTAAAATACGCAGCGCGTTTGAGAAAGTTTGTGACCGAAATGTGTAGATCATTTTGCTTGAGATGATAGAACAGGTTGTGCACTTTGTCTTTCTCAGACTAAATTTATTTTTATTCGAAAAGTCGATAAGCAATTTGAAGTAAAGTAATTAGCTCATCTTTCAGCATGTGATGCCTGCCCAGCTTTAACACGCACTGGACTTACGTGCCCAAGTGGTGCCACCTGTACAACGGTGTCTCTACGTAATGGTCAGTTTGGATATCACCATATATGGTGTCTAAGCCAAAAAACGTTATTTTAGGCCAATGTAAGGAAGCATTTTGTCCTGATGGTGTAATGACTGCTGATGGAGTACAAGTGACTTTCTTGACATGTAATCGTGAAGGTCAATGGGTTGACGGTGCAGGAGTCGTTTACACAGCTGCACAGTGCGAAATATGTACGTTTGCAAATCTTTTCAAGCTGATTTCCTTCCCATATATGAATGTATTCAGCTTGTGCGAACTGCGCAGCTTTAACCAATAATGGCATGCCATGTCCAACAGGGCGAATTTGCGAGCTTACTGCTGAAAGACAAGGTGAGAAACTTTTTTTAAAAATTCATAATTATTTGCCATCTGCTCCCTTGAAGGAGCTTACCCTTACAAATCTCTTTTAATTGTGTAAGCATTGTTTGATAGCTATCGGCCTTGTTTATAAGGCCGTTCCGCAAATGCAGAGGCATGCGGTTGCGTCGCGCTTGTTTTTTTGGTTTGTATCGCTTCAAATAGCGTAATACTCCTCACTAATAGCAATAAATGTGGTTCCTTCTTTTCTCTTTGCTTTTGTGCATTATCAACTTCCAATTTAATTTTGCTTCTTGTTAGGTTTTGTGATCTCTTTGCAACCCATGTGTGCTTACCTTAATACTGATTTCAGACGTATGCAAAGAACGTTTCTGCCCTGAAGGTGCAATGACAGGAAATATAGCTCGAACGGCATTGACATTGTTGACATGCAATGAAATGAGTCAGTGGGTTGATGCTCAAAATGCTGTTTATACTACTGCACAGTGCGAAATTCGTGAGTTTTCTTGTTTTTTGCTTTGTCTTTATCAAATCAGATAATTCTATTTGTTGCAGCTTGCGATCAGTGTACAGCATTAGGAGTTGGAACATGTCCTACAGGATTTGTATGTACTGCTGTCGTCACGGAAACAGGTAAGCACGGTTTTGCTTTCATTTTTTTTTGGACAAAAGCCGTAGAATTAGCAGAGCAGGAAAGCTTGAAAGCAGCGATGCATCAGCAACAGTCTATGCATTGTTCTGCTAGATTGTCAAATAAGTTTGCACCGTTTTTTTTCAAATGAATCTTCTAAAGAACCGAAACATATCGTAGAAAGTAGAAGTCTCTCTCTAAAAGGTATTGTACTTGGCTTTGATTTTGTTACTAGAAGTTTTGCAAATGTTTTTC